TTGATCTGGCAAATACATTTTTTTATTATTATGTTATGTTAATCACCATACATTACATCATTAGTTTTTGTTGTAGTGTTCCATGATTCATCATTTGCGTATAACACCCAGTGCTCCATGCAGAACGTGCCCTCCTTAATACCCATCACCAGGTTAACCTATCCCCCCACCCCCTCCCCTCTAGAACCCTCAGTTTGTTTTTATCATTGAGTCTCTTATGTTTGTTTCCCTCTCTCTTTTTATTATATTTTACTTTAATCATGTATATATCTGCCTCTCATGTTTATCTATAAGCTTCTTAAGAATATGACTTACAGATATTTGTAACTTCAGTGTTTAGCATAGTAATTACTCAATACATATGTGTTTGTTAAAAGAACAAGACAACAAATAATGTAAAGAGGTACCTTTAAGGAATAGCAAGGGCAGTTTAGCTAGAAAGGAGAGTGTGTGTGAGAGAGATGTATGTGTTGCTGGGTGAATGTATGGCTTTGAGGAGATTAAAGAGGTAGGTTGGATCTGATTGTAAATTCTACAGATCCTTTACTAAGTTACTAAGTTATTGTAATTCAACCTATAAACAACAAACAATTGGAGATCCTAAAGAAGCAGAGTGGTTTGCATTTTGGAAAGATACTAGTTTAGAAGTGAAACAATGATGACCATAACATTTCTTAGGACCTCAGTCTGTATCCCCTTACCCCACTCCAGAGGTCACCTTCAGAAAGTGTCCTTAGGTCCTGCGGATTCCCCATGTCTTCTGCCTGGGAGTAGTCTCTGGCCAAGGAATTTTTTTGAGTCTACATATATGGAGCAGGCCAGACACATAATTAATGCTCCCAAGAACATCCACCAACCAATGTGGGGCAGGAATTGGTATAATAATACCCCCAGATTCTTTTGCAACTCAGTAGGACAACTTGGAGGTTGTTATATACCATTTTTCAGAGAATTCCTGGCACAATTGAGCCCCAGTTCCTCACAGTGGTAACCCATTCATTGACACTTGTTTAATTGACTGTTCTTTCCCTGTGTCACTTTCCCTCTATTTTATCATGTTTTCTGGAATAATCTTCCAAAAAAAAAATTGTTTATTCTCAAACCTTTGTCTCAGAGTCTGCTTTTGGGAAAATCCAAACTAAATAAAATTTTCATTTTCTCTTTTCCCTATAGAAGGAAGTCTTAAAGAGAGGCTGGTGATGGTATCCCTGTGTCATATCTATATATATTGAAAAGTAGAAAAAACCCACCAAAACATTTTGGCTGTTTAAAAGAAAAGGATTCTTATATTCTGGAAATTCACATTTATTTATAAATAAAAACAACAACAGAAAATAAACATTGATAGAGTCACACAATGGAATTTGCACTTTGGCAGTAATGAATTAATTTCAGACATGTGCAAAGACGTAAATGTCGAAAGAGTAACATTTAAGTGAAAACAGCAAATTTCAATAGAATTAAATTAATATTAAGTTCAAAAACTTGTAATATGGCATTGAGAGACACAAACATATAGGGTAAAACTTAAAGAAAAACAAGAGATTAATAAGCACAAAATTCAGGAGAGTGATGACTTCTAGAGGGGGTGAGAGTATGGAATCGGGCTAGGGTCTACTGAGAACATCCAAGGCACTGACACTGCTCTCTTCCTTAAACTAGGTAGTAGGACCCAGGTGTTCATTATATCAGAGTTCCTTATACTTTACATATTTTTAATAAACATTATTTTCTAATGGTTTACTATTTAATAAAAACACTGTAAAAATATGTCCCACAGGATGATGATGTCTTTTTGATGTTGTCATTGATGATGATGTCGTTTGATATTGTCACTAGGTTATGTCTCACCAATTTAGCATTCCAATAACCACAGGCACTATTGTTCTCCTTACCCCAAATGAACTAGCAAAACATAAATAATACTATTCTCTTAGCTTGGATAATTATTTTTGTAAAAGTAAAGCCAGTGTTCTTGACCCATCAAAAACTGCAAATCAAGTGATGAAGGCATTAATCTTTGACTATATATTCATTTCAACCAATCTGAGAACAAATCAGCAGGGTCCCAAGGAGGGCAAGAAATACACAGAATGGGGCTCTACTCCTGTGAACACTCCTTTGAACACCTGTCTTCACAATTCTCCCAAGCCAGGTGAGAACCATCACCTCAGCACCACTGCCAAGTGTCTATGTCACAGGTGTCCACTTTTGATGCCCACATCATAGTTTCTCTCTCCAGGATCTATAGGTAAAACAAAATACATAGGTGAAATGCACAACAGGCAATTGGTTATATAACAAATTTAGAGAGGAGCCAAAAGGAACAGTGATTGGAGACTACAATGATATGTCGCAAAAAGGGTTGGGATGTACAGGGATGCCTCAAAAGGATCTAGAATCTGGGGCGCCCGGGTGGCTCAGTCAGTTAAGCATCTGCCTTCGGCTCAGGTCATGATCCCAGGGTGCTGGATTGAGCCCTGAGTAAGGCTCCCTGCTCAGCGGGGAGTTTGCCTCTCCCTCTCCATCTGCCTCTCCCCCAGCTCATGGTCTCTCTCTCACTCTCTCTCTCTCAAATCCTTAAAAAAAAAAAAAAAGAATCTAGAATCCACCTGGAGTCAGGTCTCGGATGCCACTCCTAGACCATGCTTGAATCCAGTGTCTTAGGAGACATTGCTGCTGTAACCCTCTCTGCTCCAAATGTTCTCTGAAACTCTCCTTTAAAATTCTTGCTCTTCTTTGGCCTCCCTGCTCTTGAATCTTGATTCTCTGTCTTTTCTCAGCCCCTGGGGATTAAATATTCTGCTAAGGGGTCTACCTGATTTGGGGTTTCACAAATTGACATTTTTTTCCTCAAATTCTTCTTACATTATCCCTTTAATTATAGAATACAGAAAAGTCTCATTCCACCATCAGACCCAACCTGGGCCTCCAGACCCCGGGCTAGGCTCCTGCTTAAGTGGAAAGATGCTGGACATAGCCTGGAGACATGAGAGCTGCCAGCATCTCTCAGAACCCGGGGACAACAGAGAGGTCAATTGTTTCAGGAGACAGAGATAGAGTCCTTTTGTGCAAGACACCTCCAACCTAGGAACAAAGAGCTGAGCTGGAGAAAGAACCCTAAAAACAGGTGAAATTAATTTTATTTTTCCTGCAAGAACTCATAGATAGCAAATAATTAAGAGATACCCACCCAAGGAATGATCTCTCACCACCACCACCCCTCATACATACATGCTCGTGCACACGCACACAAAACAAAAAATTGAGAAGTGTGCTGCTTCTTCTTGTAAAATTATTCTTCATCTAGGGGGGTGGGGAACAAACAGAGGAGGTCCTTTCCCAGTCCCAGAAAAATGTACTCCACATTTTCTGCCTTATTTCATACCTTGGTCACAGTATTTATCATGGGATGTTCTAACTAGTTGTAAATCTGTTTATTTTCTCCAGCAGACTCTGACTTCATTCAGATAGAATCATGTCTTGTTCAGCTCTGCATTCCCCACCCCTAGCACAGAGTTATTCCTCAAATGACATCTGAATGAGTGAAAATAAAAGGGAATTGGTCTTATCTTTTACTCTACCAAATTATTTTATTTTGATGACCTGAGCAGCTACAACCAGGAAACTGAGGAAAGGGAAAAGATCTTCAAATGGACTCAGAGAGGCTTGAGAAGGGTTTGGGATCCACTAGATTTGAAATAACTTCAGACATATTTCTGCCTTCCCCTTTAGGCTCTTATTTACTGAGAAGCAAGGGAGAAATAGCACTGAGAGGGATTTTAGGAGCTTAAGAGAAGAGAGTGGGCCAGAGTTTGCCTCTGCCACAGGAACAGGTGTTGGCTCAACCCAGTGGCGGAAGGCTCAGACCCAGAGGCGCTAGACATGTCTGGCAGGTTCCTTGGCTGCTCCCTCATTGTAAGAAGTACAGACAGGAAAAGAGAGCTGGTCTCTCTGCTTCTGCCCTTCCTCTTCCATTACCATCCTCCCTGTGGCCTTCTCTCTCTACATCACTGTGAGAAGAAACTTCATATCAACTGTATTCCCCAAGTTGAATATTGTCCTCGTTGCATTCAGTCATAAAAACAATAGTTCACTGTATTGAAACAGTGCATTTTTTCATTCTTAGCATATTTCAGCCAATAAGTGAAGAAATGTAGGAATGGGGACCAAACTCCAACTCCTTCAGTAAACAGAGACAACAAAGACACAAAACAATGATAGTGTGGACCCAGCATCGCCCCCTGGTTGTGGTGAGCAATACAAAGCCAAGTCCAAAGGGAATCACAGCACAGTCCACCCTCTGTGGATTCCCCCATCTGTCCTTTCCACATTCTCATCCATGTACCACACTTCCACCGCCAGAGCCTGCTCCCAGGTCTCAGCTCAGCAGATAGGGTTTGTAGCCAACAGTACACCAGTCAGTATCTCTGCTTCACTCAGAGACCCGCCTCAGCCCCAGCCAGAAGACTTTCTCTTTGCACAACTTCTTTATGTTTTTGTAGGGTGTCACTTGAAGCCTCAGGCATGCACCCGTCCCATTTTCTTTCAACAACTCCTAGACCAATAAAAGTAGAGCTTCACCGATGCAAGCATTTGAGGAGACAATCACTGTGGGAAGAAGTGCCAGGGTGAGGGGGAAAGAAGAGGAAGAGGGGATGTAGGAGGAGGCAGGACATAAATACTGGGAAGCGGAAGGTCCAGGTTGTTCTGCCTCCTGGGGAGAGCTCCCTCCTTCCTTCATCAGCAGCATGAGATCCTTAAGAGAGCACAAGTCCCAGAGTCAGAACACCCACCCTGGAGTCTTCATTCTGCCATGCACTCCTCATGTGTCCCTTGACAAGTCACTTTAAGCTCTTGGAATCTTAGTCCCCACACTGTAAAATGGAGATATTCATAACAATACCTGTGCTTTCTGACTCAAAAATATTTGTGAGAACCCCATAAAATTGTTATAGAAGCTACCAAGTACCGTTGAGGTCTTAGCTAGTGTTCTCTACCTACAACTGCTCAGGACGGAAGCCCAAGTGAAGCAGCACCTTCCTCAGAGATGATTCTACTTCCTTATTCCTGAGGCTGTAGATCAAGGGCTTCAGCATGGGGGTGACCAGGTTATTCAGGATCTGGACGGTTGCATCCAGCCAGGGGCTTGGGGTTGGCCTGAGGTAGATGAGGACCACTGGCATGTAGAAAAGCAAGATGGCAGTGAGGTGGGCACTGCAGGTGGAGAAGGCACGGCACTGGCCTCTGCGGAGCGGATCTGCAGGATGGAGCAGACAATGCAACTGTAGGAGGTGAGGATGAGAAGGAAGCAACTGAGGGGCATGAGGCCCACACTGATGAACCCCACCATCTCCAGGGCTGAGGTATCAGCACAAGCCAGCTTCAGCATCACCGGGATATCACAGAAGAAATAGTCCACCTCATTGGGGCCATAGTAGGGCAACTGGAAGGTGAGAGCGGTTAGAAAGGTGGCCTGAATGCAACCAAAAAAGGAGGTCCCCACGGCCAGGATGGCACACACTCTGTGGCTCATGGTCACCGTGTAGCGCAGAGGGTAACAGATGGCGACAAAGAGGTCATAGGCCATCACTGTGTACAGGAAGCGCTCCGTACAGCCCAGGAAATGGTAGAAGAAGAGCTGGGACACGCAGCCTGCATAGGAGATGACCCGGCTGTTCCCTGAAAGGTAGAAGAGCATCTTGGGGGAACTCACAGAAGGGAAAAGTATGTCACACACTGACAGTTGGCACAGGAAAAGATACATGGGAGGGTGGAGCCGAGTGGAGGAGACGATTGCCAGGGGGATGAGCAGGTTCCCCATAAGAGTGAAGATGTAGAAGCCCAAAAACAGGACAAAGAGCATGCTCTCCAGATCCTCGGTGTGTGGGATGCCCAGCAGGATAAATTCAGTCACTACTGAGAGATTCCTCATAGCTGTGGGAAAGTCAGACCTCAAGAAGGAACCCAAGATACCAAAGTCCGAACACCAACATCAAATTACCAAGCTTTTTGCTGATGAGCGCCTTGCCTGTTTTTAACAAGCAATACCAGCATTCTTATGAATGGCAAGATGTATAAAAAAACATCAGGTAATAAATAATAAATACCTCTTGTCACAAGTAATAAATGCCTTACAATCAACCCCAACATAGGAGCTTTCAGGTCATAGAGTCACATTCAACATGGGGATTCCAATCATAAACTGTGGCAAGTAACACTGAAAAACATATCAAAGAGAATGACCAAGCCAAAATGAGTCACTCGTACACCACCCTACAACTGGGCAAAATTGAAGACAGCAAAGAGAAACAGACACATTCTGGGGGAGCAATGCTGCTGACAACCTGCTTCTTGTTACTAATTCTAGTCACACCTGAATAGTGTCTCCAAACCATGCAAATTTCTGTGGGCTCTGGATCACCTCTCCTTGATCAAAAAAGGTTCTCATAAGTCTGTGGTCCTTGCCTATGATCAGATATTATGTCATTCTGTAATCCTGTTCAATTTAAAAGTCTATTTCTGGAAAAAGAAGTTCCCACAAGTTCCCAGAAAAGCCCCTGTGTGTGGACCTGCTTTAGAGAGCAGATGAGAGGCAGAGGCTAATAGTGAGACACGAGCAGTAGCCTGGACACACTCACACAGTCCACCCCAGAACACAGTCACTTTGTCCAAAGTGTTGTAACAAGACCTCACCTTTACCGTCTCTGAGCAGAGCACAGAGTGCCCCAGCCAATGGAGCTTCAGTTCCCCTACTTACAAAGAACTGATTCTCATAGGGTTTGTACAATTAAGACTTGTACATACTCACTCTCCCTGGATTGCTTCCTTGGAAGTTTTCTCAGATTCCCTTAAGCCCTACTTGGGACACAGACATAGCTCTAAGGAAACAATTAGTTTTTCAACTTATTTATCATCCAGCTATGAAATAATAGCAAAAAGAGCATCAGAAAGGGACTCTCTAAAACAGGAAATATCTGCTCCTTCAAGCTCACTTACATGGTAGCATGAGCTCTAATTCTATCCCGTTTTTTGGTTGCCCTATACACCTTTAAGCCTTTGCTTATGATATCATCTGTCAATTGCTTTTGAAGTTATCTATACATTTATGTGACCATATAGTTATCTCTAATAAACATCACTATTCAAGGCAGAAACCTATCAGTTAGTAATTATGTATTATGCATTTCTTATCATTATGTGTCCTTCAGGTCAGTACTCCTAAAGAGAAATATTTTTATACTGGACACATCCATAGCAGATGACCAGGATAGATAAAGGGGCTGGCTATAAACTTTTTCAAAATGACTGACAAAAATTATTGACTAGCTAACATTCAGTTAATCCATTGTAAACATTTACCATGAGCTAAGTGCTATGATAAATTTTAAATTCATGATTACATTTAATCTCCAATAGAAACCTTATAAAGTAGGTGGTATTATTTGACAAAGAAACTGAAAGGTAGGGGTGGCTCAGTCCATTAAGTATCCAACTCTTGATTTTGACTCAGGTCATGATCTCAGGGTGGTGAGATCAAGCCCCACATTAGGCTCCGCATTCAGTGCGGAAACTGCTTGGGATTCTTTCCCTCTGCCCCTCCCCCCTCCCCTCTCTCTTTCAGATAAATAAATAAAAATTTAAAAAAGAAACTGAAAAGTAGGGGTGCCTGGGTAGCTCAGTTGTTAGGCATCTGCCTTCGGTTCAGGTCATGGTCCCGGGGTCCTCGGATCAAGCCCCACATCGGGCTCCCGGCTCACGGGGAGGCCTGCTTCTCCTTCTCCCTCTCCCCCTGCTTGTGTTCCCTCTCTCTCTGTGTCTCTCTCTGTCAAATAAATAAATAAAATCTTTAAAAAAAATTAAAAAAAAAACTGTAAAGTAGATGAAATAGCTTGAGGAGTACACAGCTAGAAAGACACTGAACTGAGTCTCTAATTACCAAGCCAATGCCTTTAAGCATTATGCTATGATGAATTCCAGAGATTTGAGTTTTGTACCCAAACAGAAACAGAGGTATAATGTGGTCCTCCAATGTTTGCAGGGCTGGTGGTCTTGATATGTGCCACTTCATGGGATGACTCACGAATCATGGGCAGATGTGGTACAGACAGATTTATTTTCAGAGTAGAAAGGGTTTCATTATTAATAAATGTATGTAGATGAAATACACAGGCTTATGAAATGGTTAGCTCCTTGTTACTGGAAATATCCAAGGTGTAGAGAGAATCATCTTGTAAGTATACCATTAAGAATAGTCTCAATTTGGGGATGCCTAGGTGGCTTAGTCAGTTAGGCTGACTTTGGCTCAAGTCATGATCTCAGGGTCCTGGGATCGAGCCCCGCATCGGGCTCCTTGCTTAGCGGGGAGTCTACTTCTCCCTCTCCCTCTGCTGCTACCCCCTGCTTGTGCTTATGCGCTCTCTCTCTCTCTCTCTGTGTCAAATAAATAAATAAAATCTTTTTTCAAAAAAAGAATATTCTCAGTTTGAATGAGAAACTTGAATTAATGCTCTTACTAATTCTGGAAGTATTTGGTTTTATTTATACTGCAAAACTTTTCGATGAAGGGTGCCTGGGTGGCTCAGGTCATGATCCCAGCGTCCTGGGATTAAGTCCCTCATCGGGCTCCCTGTTCAGCCGGGAGTCTGCTTCTCCCTCTCCTTCTGCCCCTCCTCCTGTTTGTGTGCTCACTCTTTCTCTAGCTCAAATAAATAAAATCTTAAAAAAAAAAAAAAACTTTTCAATGATACCAACCTGACAAAATAAAAGTGGAACTTCTATTTAATGTTGATAATTCTACCAATCCCTATGCAAAAGAAATTACAATATGACCATGGTGGTTACAAAAGTAACTATTATAATACCAAGACTGTTGTGAAAACATTTTTAAAAAAAAGGAGAAACATAGGTCATGGAGGGAGTCCAGGTGCTACTCAGACAGGGTCTCACCAGATGAGAATGGCCTGTTAAGATGTCTTAGTGAATAGAACACAGTTTTATTTTATTTTATTTTATTTTATTTTATTTTTAGACCACAGTTTTAACAGCTAACATTTCTTGTGCATTTGCTATATGACAGAATTGTGTTGAGTGCCCTACCAGTATTATCTCTCTCAGTTCTCACTAGAAATCTATTATGCAAGTAGTATTATTCCCCCCATTTCTAGTAGGAAATTTGGGCTCAAAGGGTTTAAGCAATTTAATCAAGGTAATAAAGTTGGTTAATGGTAGAGCTGTATCTTAAATTCAGGATAATATGACCCTTCCTTTTAAGTTATAAAGAAAAATGTTCATAACCAATTCTGACTTACAAATACTCATTCATAACTAATATCACCTTACTTCTGTGATTGCTTCAGTTTTCTGGGGCACTTTTATGTCCTTTTAATTAATTATCTCAAGAATGTTGTAAGGTGGCCCTTATGAGACCCATTTTACAAATGAGGATGTTGGAACTCAGAGGAACTGTGACTTTCCTAAAGTTAGACAGTAGAAGAGCCCAGGCATTCCCAGGCTTATCCCTCTTTCCACTACATCATTCACCAGCTTCCAAAAATGACTCTATACAGACAGCAGCTGTCCTTGCATCAGAGAATTATTAGTAGACTCATTCTAGAGATTTCAAGGAGGCTTATGCATACCCTTATAGTCATTACTGTTTTTATTTGTATTATCTGACAAGATTATGGCCTTCCACTATGAGAGAGAGTGAGAAAGCAAAAGAGAGAAGCTTGTTCAGCTCATGTTCTGTTTCATAGGAATGAGTCCCAGAAAATTCAGTAGATATTTCACAAGAGAACTGTCTCACTATGGTATATTTGCAGGGAAATTTGCCTTATATTGAAATCATCCTTGTTTTAATCAGAGAAAACCACCTGCCTTGTTTAAATACTTTTCCCTCTACTCCAGGAATTTAAGTAAGTCACTGGCATATTCCAGAAGCAACTGGATTCTCAACTAATCATTCAGCAGAACTTTCTGATTATAAATAGCAGGCATTCTTGGTCCAGTGACAGGTGCTTTATTATTTGTTGGCAGCACAGGGGTCTGGGGGGGCGGGGGGGAAATGGCTAAGCAAAAATTTCCTGTCTTACTGCAAAAACTCTGGGGAAGAATTAGGCTATGACCCAAAATGGAAAAGAGCAGGATGATGGCTAGTTAAGGGGTGATAAATTTGTTAGGTTGTTATTTTTTCCTTTCCTTTCCTTCTCTTTCTTTCTTTCTTTCTTTTCTTTCTTTCTTCTTTCTTTCTCTTTCTTTCTTTCTTCTTTCTTCTTTCTTTCTTTCTTCTTCTTCTTTCTTTCTTTCTTTCTTCTTTTTTTCCTTTTTTCTTTCTTTCTTCTAGTGGGAAAGTGCTCAATTTCTTTGATTGACTTCTTGACAACTTAATAGTTTCTATGAAAGAGATGTAATCCACCTAATGGAGGAGTTAAAGTAATAAATGTAGGAATAAAACTCATATTTTCTATGTTTTTGGTGGCAGAGAGGTGGGAATGATAGAAATATCAGGGACTTGAACCCCTGGAATTCTCCTGAATGATTTGGTGTCCTCAGTCATCACCAATTCTTAAGTGATTTCTCATGCTTCTATCTGGTCCCCACTCCCATTATCATAGCCTGTAAACTGATGGGATATGTGTCAGGGAGCCACAGTAGGCTAGAATACTGGAACGGCTCCTGGATCAGAGAAAGCAGACAGATACCAGCAGAGAGATCACTAATCTAGCAGTGTCTAAGATATAGCCCCGTCTGCTAAGCAAAATAGAGTATCCAATTTCCATGGCATAAGCAGACAAGTAGGTCAAGGTTCAGAAAGAGTTAACTTTTATTAAGCAACAGATATCCTAGAAGATGCAGTAGAGCATCCATACAAAAGGAAATATATATATATATACACACATAGAGAGAGAGAAAGAAAGAAAACCCAAAGATGAAGAGAAAATCTTGAAAGAAGCCAGAGTGGGGGAAAACACCTTACTCATTAAAGAGAAGGAAGAAGAAGAAGAAAAAGAAGAAATAGAAGAAGAAGAACAAGAAGAAGGAGGAGGAGGAGGAGAAGAGGAAGAAGAAAGAGAACAGATTTCTTGTCAAAAACTATACAAGCAAGAAAAGAGTGGAGTGAAATTATTAAAATGCTTAAGGTATAGGATATAAAATTCTTCCAGAAAAATTTTCCTTCAAAAGTGAAGAATTATAAACTTTCCCAAACAAAAATAAAAGGAACCCATTTCCAGAACACCTGTCCTGCGAGAAATGTTAAAAGGAATCCTTCAGGAAGAAGGAAAATGATATAGGTCAGAAATTCAGATCAACATAAAAAAAGAAAGAGTGTTGGAGAGTAAATAAAGTGAAATAAATCTTTTCTCATTCTTAATTGATTTAAAATATAAATTTTAAAGCAGTAATAATAACAGAGCATTGGGAAATCATAATACATGGGTAAGAGAAATGAATGTCAGCAATGCCACAATGGGTGGGTGGGAGGGAGAATTAGGAAAACTCTGTTATATAAGGTGCCTGCACTACACATAAAGTCGTTTAGTGCTATCTGAAGATGGACTTCAGGCTAGTTTCAAATGTATATTGCAAATGCTAGGGCAGCAATTAAACAAATTAAGAAATGTAATTGATAGGTTAAGAGCGGAGATAAAAGGAAATCCCATAAAATGCTTAATTCAAACCAGAGAAGGCAAAATAAGATGGAGGAAAAAAGCAAATGCAACAAATAGTAAACAGTTAAACATGGTAGATATAAATCCAATTACGTGAATAATTGCTTTAAATATGAATAAGTACATCAATTAAAAGAGATTGTCAGAGTGGATTAAAAAAAAAAAACAAGACCCAAGTATATGCTGTCTACAGGAAGCCTACTTTGAATATAAAGATGTATGTAGGTTAAACGTAAAGGGATAGAGAAACAAATACCATGCTAATGCTAATCAAAAGAAAGCTGGAGTGACTATACTCATTTCAGACAAAGCAGATTTCAGAAGGAAAACCATCAGAGATCTAGGTATTACATAATGATAAAAGGGTGAGTTCTCCAAGAAGATCTAATAATCCTAAATGTATTTACACCTAACAAGAGAACATCACAATACATGAGGCGAAAACCAATGAAGCCAAAAGGAGAATCAATGCATGGAGTTAGCTCATTGCATGAGGTTTTTCTTGGTTTTCTTCTGGTCAATCAGATACTAGAAACACATGGCCTGTTTTTAAGGAAGCGATAGCTGAGCTGGGAGAAAAACAGCACATGCTAAATGATCCCCAGGGTGACCATGCTGGAACTGGGGAAGATCAGCACTAGGCTTCATTAATAAGTCTGTGTGCAGCAGGGTCCCCTGCCCTGGAGGTACTGGGCTTAGTGTGATGGGAAAATCTGGAGGCAGTGTTATCTGCCATCTGCCTCCTGGCCAAGTCTCTGCGGCCAGGAAATAGCTGCAGGGTGTGGACGACCAATGGAAGCTGAGCTCAACTTCCCTCCTGGGCTCCTTGCCTGGAGCATCAGTTCCTGAAAATACAGATGGTGCTTTCTATTTTCTGAAAACATGAGGCACCAGCCTTGAAAGTGGGCTTCAAAAAATGTGCCAAAACATTCTTGTTGATGATGAAGACCGACGCTTGTTTAAATGTGAGGAGTTTACAGTTGGCACAACATTTTATCGCGTGAGCCCGAATGGAAATACAAAATCATGCTACTTTAAAACCATAGTTCATTCTGCATTTTAAGGAAGACAAATGGAAGGTTGCTCTTGTTGCTGTTATTTTTTGTTTTGTTTTTTGCTGTAGAAGTCCCCAAGCCCCAGCCTAGTCTGCAAGCTGAAGGGTAAGAAAAAGGGAAGGAACAATAAATGTAATAAAGAATGATCCATACAGGGTGCCTGGGTGGCTTGGATAGTTGAGCGTCTGCCTTCGACTCAGGTCATGATCCCAGATCCCTGGGATCGGACCCTGAGTCCAGGTCCCTGCTCCGTGGGGAGCCTACTTCTCCCTCTCCCTCTGCCATTCCCTCTGCTTGTGCTCTCTGGCTCTATCTCTCTGTCAAATAAATAGATAAAATCTTTTTAAAAAATGATCCGTATAATCAATGTAAAGGGCCATCTCTCTGTGAGCGCAGGATAGTTCTACAACGTGCATGGTCTTTAAGAAACTGTCTCTTGTCATAGCATGGATAGGACCTATCCAGAGGGCAGCCATGGATACAAGCCGAAAGACTGAGCCCTCAAACTTTAATGTGCATGTGAATTACCTGGAGACCTTGTTAAAAGGCAGACTTTGTTTGATACAGTAGTTCTTGGGGTTGCCTAAGACTGCATTTCTAGCAAGCTTCCAAGTGATATCACAGCCCTATTCCACAGGTCACACTCAGCTATAAACAGACTCGGACGAAAGTCCTGGGAAATCAGTCTCCACTATACAAGTCAGGCGAATTTCCCTAATGTTCAACAGAACTCAGGTCTAGGCCATTCTCTACCTGAGTGAACAGATATTGAGGTCCCACTCAGAATTCTTAAGTATTCAAGATGAAAGTGATAATGGAGTTCTAGTGTAATCCCACTTTTACAGATAGGGACACTAAGCTCTCGGGGGGTTAAATCATTTGTCCATTATCATGTAACTATTTAAGTGTACTGTCAGGATTCTAATAGTGGTTTTCTGATCAGCGTCCTTTACTTGCCTCATGTAAGATAGGAAATCAGCCTACAACAGAAGATACAGGGCAGGACACGGTGTGAACAGTGTAGGCATCAGCAAAGCTGGGAGGGAATATAAGGGATAATAAAACCAATGCAGGTTTAAAATGTACAAAAGATCAGATACAAGAAAATGCAGTATAGATATAATCATTTTAATATTAATACAATAGTATTTGGGGGGACATCAAACAGGTCATTTCCACTAGGATAGAGTATGTAGGACAAAGCTCAGAAACAATCATGGGGAATTCCTTTCTTCCTCATGGGCTGAGTGATCCAGGCTCAGGTCTCAGGCAAAGCTGCCTTTAAACCCACTTTTTTTAAACCCACACCGTGTCCTGTCCCTTATCTTTATTACAGATCAGAGCCCGCTTAGAGGCCTCATGGGTTCAGGCCAGGACTGAAGATTTCATTATCACCTTCTCACTGAGATGTTAAACAATTCAGGAGAAACATCTGTCTCAAACAATGATGATTCAATCCAGTCCCTTAGGCAGTGAGAGGGAAGGCATGGGTTTTGGCTAGCAAAATCCAAAGAGAATCAACCAAGAAGACCAGCAGCAGTGCCATCTCTCACAGTGGACCCCTGGAGTCTCTCTCTTCGTGATCTTGAGGTTATATTGATCCCAGTATTGGCTTTCAACCTCCCCTCCAATTCTCCATCCTATCTTAGAATAGAAAATTGGATAGCTCACCTGTCTGGTCCTGATAAGTATATAAGATCAAAGGGAATAGATAAATATAATGCACAGCATCCTCTTATTCAGGCATCCCTAACATCAGTGCTGTACCCTTCGGTGTGGCATGCACGCCACCTGTTTTTCATGTGGTCACTCTGGAAAACCTGGGAGGAACGTTACTGCCTAAGAACACTTGAAATCCCTCCAAGAAAGGGAACAGATTCTGGGACCACTGACGCTGGGCTGAGGGTATGCTGGGGAAGGTGGATCATCCACCTTCCACCCAAAGGGAACCTGGAACAGAGAGGCAAGGTGGGATGTGCGCATCCTTCACTCTGACGGCAAGAAACTGATAGGATCAAGGTAAAATACAAAAATAATACCACAGCAGGAGAGCATAAAGCAAAGAGCAGTAGCGTGGGAGAGACACTTGTTTTTCTGGACAGTGTCCTCAGAGGGCAAAGATGGAGGGGTCCACGGACGACTTGGTGAAAACAATAGCAGCTTTCACAAGCTCTTGCATGATGGAGGCTGTTATGAGGAGAAAACAAGAATTAGGGCTGAACAACCATGGTGAGAATAAATACTCTTCCCCCGAGACTCTCCATACACCTGCCTGATCAGCTACCCTGACTCCTGGCTCCTGTCTTTCTTCAACACCTCTGACTTTGGTCTTCTTACTGCCCAGAGTCCCTTTCACCTTCTCTGGTCCCAGAAATACTCAACAGCAGTGAGCTAATAAATCCCCCAGGAGTGAGAGCTCCTGTCCAACCCTATACTCAGCATAGAGCTGAGACAGTGAGGAGAACAAATGCCACTTCATGTCCTTCTCACAATTCACAGTCCCCATCCATGTCCCTTTCCCTCTTTACTCACCTCTCCTCTCCCCCAATTTAAGAACGCACCCTCATCCTACCAAGGAGAGGATTATCTGGGAGACCAGAAAAGGTCTGAACCAGGACGGTCAGGGGAGGGGACTATGAGAACTCCTCCCCAGTCACCTTCAAGCAGGCCTGGAGGCTCCGTGCCAGGGAAGATGATTAGCTTCCTAAGGAAGGAAGGAGAGGGGGTCTTAGCATTGAACTCCTACCTGCATGGATGTGAATCCAGGTTCTGGCCTTCTTTTCCAGAAGTTCCCACTCACCCTTCATTTGCTTAGCATTGGAATGCAGCCAGACCACTGCCAGGACTGTGGCCCAGCTTGAGGAATTTGCATCCTGTACAATAGACAAAGACTCCCCTGAAGCCTCCAGTTGGAGCTGGAAGCCCCTCAAGGGGATGCAAACAGCTCCGCTCCCTCCTCACTCACTTTGCCACAACCTGCTATTAAATGTGATGACCTGTTCTCTCTGTACCTCCTCTACTACTTGTATAATGTCAGGCCCTGAACGTCAGGGCAATAATCCCCTGAGTCTTTTTTTTTTAATTTTTTATTGTTATGTTAATTACCATACATTACATCATTAGTTTTTGATGTGGTGTTCCATGATTCATTGTTTGTGCATAACACCCAGTGCTCCATGCAGAACATGCCCTCTTTAATACCCATCACCAGGCTAACCCATCATCCCACCCCCCTCCCCTCTAGAACCCTCAGTTTGTTTTTCAGAGTCCATCGTCTCTCATGGTTCATCTCCCCCTCCGATTTCCCCCGCTTCATTCTTCCCCTCCTGCTATCTTCTTTTTTTTTTCTTAACATATATTGCATTATTTGTTTCAGAGGTACAGATCTGTGATTCATCAGTCTTGCACAATTCACAGTGCTCACCATAGCACATACCCTCCCCAGTGTCTATCACCTAGCCACCCCATCCCTCCCACCCCACCCCCCACTCCAACAACCCTCAGTTTGTTTCCTGAGATTAAGAATTCCTCACATCAGTGAGGTCATATGATACATGTCTTTCTCTGTTTGACTTATTTCGCTCAGCATAATACCCTCCAGTTCCATCCACGTCGTTGCAAATGGCAAGATCTCATTCCTTTTGATGGCTGCATAATATTCCATTGTATATATATACCACTTCTTCTTTATCCATTCATCTGTCGATGGACATCTTGACTCTTTCCACAATTTGGGTATTGTGGACATTGCTGCTATAAACATCGGGGTGCATGTACCCCTTCGGATCCCTACATTTGTATCTTTGGAATCCCCTGAGTCTTAAGGTAGAAAAGTCTTAAGTTTTAAATCCAGCATAACCATCAGGACAGTGCTTAAAACTCCTACAACATCCCCAACAAGGATGACTAAGCTATGAGAAGAGAAACATGTGGATAATTGCTTTGTATTTTATAATGTATTTTCATTTGAATCTTTGCCAAACAAAAAAAGAGGAATTATCAATAATGACATTTTTAAGAGAGAAAACTGATTCATACAAAAGTGAAATGATTTGCCCAAAGTTAGCCTTCTAATAAATGACATAGTTGGGACTGGAGGCCCAATATTCTGATTCGAGTCATCCTGCTCACGTCACTTAAGAGAGAGTCTCTGCCACAGAATGGAAAATGGTCTCCTGTTGAGTTTTCACCCATGGTCCCAACTTTAGTTTTTAGAGTCAACAGATCAAGAGAAATTGCTCTTTTATATCATGACCTTTAAACTTTGGAAACAGCTATCAAGTCTTCTCTGAGGAGTCCTGTTTCAATCAAAATTCTCAATTCCTGGGGCACCTGGTGGCTCAGTTGGTTAAGCATCTGCCTTCGGCTCAAGTCATGATCCCAGGGTCCTGGGATTGAGCCCTGCATCGGGCTCCCTGCTCAGCCGGGAAGCCTGCTTCTCCTTCTCCCACTCCCCCTGCTTGTGTTCCCTCTCTTGCTGTCTCTCTCTGTCAAATAAATAAATAAAATCTTAAAAAAAAATTCTCAATTCCTGGGGCACCTGGGTGGCTCAGTAGATTAAGCATCTGCCTCTGGCTCAGGTCATGATCTTAGAGTTCTGGGATCGAACCCCACATCGGGCTCCCTGCTCAGCAAGGAGTCTGCTTCTCCCTCTCCCTCTCCTTCTGCCCTACCCCCCAGCTTGACCTAGGGCACGCAAGCACGTGTGCACTCTCTCTCTCTCCCAAATAAATAAATAAATAAATCTTTTTAAAAATTCCCAATTCCTTTAATTTTTCTTTAAGAGGACTGCTCATGTCAAACCAGTAAGAATCCCCATGCTTGATCTAGTCTAGAAACAAACATCAGAGTGGTTTTTAAAATGTATCTCCTTAAAGAGTGTTAGGCTGAGCAAAATAAGTCAATCAGAGAAAGACATGTATCATATGACCTCACTGATATGAGGAATTCTTTTTTTTTTTTTTTGATATGAGGAATTCTTAA